CTAGAAAGCATACTTTGTGACTGCTTGTATGTGGGGAAACATGCTTCAGTTTTCCTCTCACATGAACATTTTTTGGCCCAGTATAGCTCTTGGGTAATAATCCTTTTCTTAAGAAATTTTTAACATTGCTCAATTGTCTTTCGCGTTGAATGTTGCAGGAGTGATGAATGGTACCAGTCTGGAGCATTATCAGAGTGTAGCATTTCATCTTGGAATTCAGAAATCACAAGTCTCTATCTTGGTATCTTTCCCCTAACTGTCTCTTGCATGTGCGAGAAGACCAAATATTTTCTAATGGAGGCAAAATTGGATACGTTTCCATTAGATTGAGCATATTGATTATGTTTTAACACCTGTTGTTATTTTGCTGTTTTCTGTTTTTCCTGTCAACAACTGAGACAGACCTCTTTTTTTTTTATTCTTATGTTAATCCCCATACATTACATCATTAGTTTTAGATGAAGTGTTCCATGATTCATTGTTTGTGCATAACACCCAGTGCTCCATGCAGAATGTGCCCTCCTCAATACCCACCACCAGGCTAACCCGTCCTCCCACCCCCCTCCCCTCTAGAACCCTGTTTGTTTTTCAAAGTCCATCGTCTCTCGTGGTTCGTCTACCCCTCCGATTTCCCCCGCTTCATTCTTCCCCTCCCGCTACCTTCTTCTTCTTTTTTTTTTTTTTCTTAACATATATTGCATTGTTTGTTTCAGAGGTACAGATCTGAGATTCAACAGTCTTGCACAATTCACAGAGCTTACCAGAGCACATACCCTCCCCAGTGTCTGTCACCCAGTCACCCCATCCCTCCCACCCCACCCCCCGCTCCAGCAACCCTCAGTTTGTTTCCTACAATTAAGAATTCCTCATATCAGTGAGATCATATGATACATGTCTTTCTCTGTTTGACTTATTTCACTCAACATAATACCCTCCAGTTCCATCCACGTTGTTGCAAATGGCAAGATGAGACAGACCTCTTGAGATCTACTTTGATGGTGCATTTGTCATCTTTTCCTTGGAGGATCTCTGAATTTCTACTTCCTGTATTTTGAGGCTATTTAATAGGAGTACTTCCGTTTAAAATTATTTTCCTCGTGAATTAAATATTCTACCACAATGGAGTGGTCCTTGTTACCTCTAATAATGCTTTTTTTTTTTTTTAAGATTTTATTTATTTATTTGACAGAGACAGAGACAGCGAGAGCAGGAACACAAGCAGGGGGAGTGGGAGAGAGAGAAGCAGGCTTCCTGCTGAGCCGGGAGCCCAATGTGGGACTCGATCCCAGGACCCTGGGATCATGCCTGAGCCGAAGGCAGTCGCTTAACCAACTGAGCCACCCAGGCGCCCTAATAATGCTTTTTAACTGAAATGCTTTAATATTTGATATCAATATAATTGAATGCTGTTTAACTTTTCTCAGTGAGTCCTTGTGATGTAAACCTCAATCAGCTCAGAGAACATTTTTTCTATTACTTTTTTATTTTTCATTTGCTCTCTAGTCTCCTTCTGGAAGACCTAATTTTGAAGATGTAGGATCATCTTCATCTATCATTCATATTACTGACCATTCCTCTTATCATTTATTTCAATGTCTCTTTTTCTCCGAATTCTGGAATAAAGCTCTATGGGAGCAGTGATTGGTTTACCTCTTGTTGTATTGCCAGTGTCTGGATGTGAGTGAGAACAGAGGACAGAAGAGGTACTTAGGTAAAATTTATTAAATAGGCGAGTGAATTCTTGGAGTGCTGTTCTAACTTACCAGCAGTCCAGTGTTCCTTCTACTACTTTTGGCTTCTATCATTTATTTTTAAATTACATAAATCATCTTTTTTTTCCATAAGAACTCATTTTTGTTTTCGGACTGCAACTTTTCCCATAGCACCCTACATAAGTTTTATGCATCCCTATAGTCTATTAAATTGCACTGAAAATACACACTGTGATTTTAAAAAAAAAAAGTTTTCCTGTGTTTGCTAACTCTGTTTTACTAAGAGGAGGAGCTCAGTACTAAGCTAGTGATCCTCTCTATGGCAAGGTACTTTTGATCTCTCTCTTTTTTAGTTTTTAAATTTATTTTATCAGTGAAGAGTCAGCTTGATCAGTATTGGAGCTCATCTGAGCCTTTTAGCAACTACATATATCACTTTTTGGTGTCCCCAGTATGGCTCAACCTGACCCGTTACTGACTGGAGGAGTCTGTGAACAAGCTTTTTTCTGGGTATGGTTAATGGATGGAGATTCTAGAATTCATGCAGTGTCGATTTACAATCAGGAATTATTAAACATTAACTTCACTGCTACTCTGAAGACCCATGAATCTCATTATTGATGAAGGATAGGGTTAAGGGGGAAAAGGAGTCAACATTTAAAGCTTTAGGGGCAGACACATTGCCACTCCTCAAAGACAGAGCACCTGGCGGAGAGGTGCCAGTGGGACTCACCAAGGCAGCCGAGTTCTGACTCTGACTTGCATTTCTAATTCCTCACTGAGAGGTTCTGCCCACACTCCCCACTCTGGTTGCAGACCCCAGCTGGGGTGGAGACTCCTCTGTTTAGGTTGAGGGGAAGAGGGCCATCTACTGGTGGTCTGCAACCGGGAGCTACAACTTCCATGCCAAACATCTGGGACAGAGCTCCAGGTGTGACACCTGATTGAATACTCAACTGAGTGTGTTTTCTTCTCAGAAATTTGCCCATCCAGGGGTGCCTGGGTGGCTCCATCGGTTAAAGCATCTGACTTTGACTCGGGTCATCATCTCAGGGTCCTGGGATCGAGCCCCGCATGTTCCTGCTCAATGGGGAGTCTGCTTCTCCCTCTCATTCTGCCCCTCCCCCTCCTCCTGCTCCCTCTCTCTCTCAAATGAATAAATAAAACCTTAAAAAAAAAAGAAATTTGTCCATCTGTCAGAGTTAAGTTTAGTAAGGGGGGGTCTACGGTTGTTGACTTGAAATCTAAGGGTGCTTCAGATAGCCCCAGTAGAAGAGGGGGAAATCTAGGCTGTAATTAAAAAGAGCTTCTGGGATCCCCACATAACACAGCAGTGTGTGTGTGTGTGTGTGTGTGTTGGGGGGGCTAATTTTGACCAGAGGGGCAGGGAGACGTAGTCAAAAATTATTAATTTATGGAAATTAATATGGGCAGTTTTAACATCAAGCGTGTGAAGGGTTACTATAAATGGGATTGGGACCAGCTTCTTTCACTCACTCATTTAAAGCTAGAACAGGCTGTAGAGTATGGGGCTACCAAGCAGAGGAGGTCTTGGCTTTGGAGATGAGGTCTCAAAATTTATCCTCTGAAGGCGAAATGAAAATGAGCCTTCTGTTCTATCTATAGAAACACTCAAGAAAAAAGCAGAATACATCTGCTGGTGAACGATTTCAAAGCTTTCAGCAAAAGACCAAGGTATGTCTCATGTTTAATCCAGAAAACCAAGCATGAATGTATAACTGGTATATAATTGAAGTAAACAGTAATTTTCTCAGTTGTAATGTATTGGAAGGGTGGTAGTCTGTGTGGAGTCTAGAAACCTAGAGCCAAAGAGTGAGTCATTTATCTCCAGCCCAGTTTGGAGAAGGGGCTATGCAGACTGGAATGAGCCGTGGAGTCCTTAGATAGGGTTATCTCCCCGGGGAGACGCCGGGGGGGTGGGCGTTCACATACTCCTTTGTTCTGGTGCAGTGCTCACTGAGAAACCTTTCTTTTTCAACCTCCAGTTTTAATTTGTATATATTCTTTTATATGAGACATTTATTATCTTCATCATAAAGTTATATTTCTACACGAAGCATTTTAAAAAATAGAAACACTTCAAAAAAAAAAATCACTCCATTTCACTTAACCTAACCACCACTTTCGGCATGTCTTCTCTTCCAGTCTTTTCTAGGAATATGTATTACGAGAATAGCATGCGAACAATTGTGTTTTCTGTTTTTCATTTAACACCCTATCAGAAGCATGTCCCATACAACTAAACCCTATACCTAATCATCACTTTTAAAATCTCTGCGCAAGTACCACAAGGCTTGCCTATAGTTGCGACACGAAAGAATTCAATACAGAATTTCTGGGCGACCACGTGAAAAGTTTCACAACAGATGGTGTTCGTGCCAGCAGGGGTCTCATCTGTGCGTGGGGCTGCAAGACCCTCTAAACAGGTGCAGTGGTGCCTTTTCGTGAGTGTAGGAACCGGGCACCCAACTTGCCTTTCTCCAGACTCACACAGGGATTTTCTGCTTGCCTGTTCATCTAGTTCCAGTGATGAATTTGGACCACGGGCCAGTCTTTTGGTTCGGGACCAAGGCCTAAGACCGTGCTTTCAGATTTCTGCTCTCACACATATCTTGGACCTAGGCTTTCGGAATATCGAACCCTCAACACGGCCCAATGCCCAGCATCCTTGCTGGTGACGAAGAAAAACTCAGATGAAAGCATTGGAAAAATAAAAGTATTTTTCCCCAGAGTTCTTAAAGTTACTCCAGACTTCAAGAGAGCTGGGCTCCTCAAATAACTTAGGTTAAAGTCAGCTTGTTCGTGGCAGAAAAACATGTTTCTTCACAAGACGGTTATCTGTACACGAAGGTTCACATATATGCGTAGGCATCAGTCTTGTAGAAGTCAAGGGTAAGCTTGTTTTGGTTAGAGGATAACCTAAAGGAAAGAGCTCAGGCTTTATTTATTTGGGGGAACAGTGCTAGGCAGAGTGTTCTTGCCATTGAAAAAAAAAAACATTATTAGAATGCAGCGTTTTGCCCCTTCTGACTGAAGTTTGTGATCTGCTTAGTATTGCTAGCAGCAGGGACACATGTCAGTCTTTGCTTTCTCATTTGTCTTGGAGAGAAACTGGGTGGAAACATGTAAGGATGCAACAGGAGGGCAGAGAAGGGGCACATAAACCACACTGGCTGTATCCTTCATCCACAGTGCACCGCCTGACGGGCGACCACAAAATCTCAGCGGTGCAGAGCAATAAGCCTGGATCCCAGTGCCTGGGAGTCTGCTGACAGTGAGCTGCTCACAGCTGGACTGGGTCAGGTCGGCTCCGTGGAGAAGTTCTGCTCGGTGAGATTCTTTCTTTTCTTTCCTGAGAGAGAGAGAGAGAAATAATGAGCGGGGGGGGAGAGGGAGAAGCAGGCTCCCTGCTTAGCTAGGAGCCTGACATGGGGCGCGATCCCAGGACCCTGGGACCATGACCTGAGCCAAAGGCAGGCGCTCAATGACTGAGCCACCCAGGCGCCCCTCCCCGGTGAGTTTCTTATGTTCCTCTGGGGCCGGCTCATGTGTTCTCCTCATGGTGATGTCAGAAGTTTGCTTAAAGGGACTTGGAATTGGCACATTATCATTGGTGCTTCTGTGCTATGGGCCAAAGCAAGGCACAAGGCCAACCTCACAGTTAAAGTGTGGGTAAGTGTACTTGGCTCATGCTAAGGCTTGGCAAAGATGTAAATACGGGGCGTGGTGAAGAATTGTGGCCACTAATGCAAGCTGTCACACTGGGCATAAAGGAGGACTTCCTCTGAAAGGGGCGGATGAACTGATCCTTGGAGGATGGAAGAAGAGTAAGCTTAGGGGTTTGGAATGACATGCCAACAGAAAGAAGGGAGGGTAGGAAGGCAAGGATATGCAGAGCAGCATGGTGTGTTTGGGGAAAAATAGAAGGAAGTAACTGAGGAATGGGGGAAGGGGACTGAAGATGAAGGTCTACAGATAGCATGAGGCCAGCCCATGAAGGACCTTGTGTACAAAGCGAAGGAGATTTGATAATTTGGAGCCATGGGAAGGCATTTTAGAGGCTCAGATTTGCCTTTGATAAGGGTCATTCTGGGAGAAGTATGTCGGAAATATTGGCATGATCCGGAAAAGGGTCGGGGAGATCAGGGGAGAGTAGAGAGGCTATTGAAGGGGATGTCGTAAGATCTTGAATTAAAGCAGTGGAGGTGGGAATGAAGAGGGGCAAGAGGTTGAATCCACAAAATTTGACGATCTAGTTGTTGGAGCTACGAAAAGAAGTCTTGCTCCTCAAAGGGAGACAGACTAGTAGTGTCAAGTTCACAGGAAGAGCTCGTTTTCTGATTTGGGTGGGGGTGGGGGCAGGATAGAGGTTTAGCTCGGTTTGGAGTGTGTTGCTCTTTGGTCTCTATGGTTTGTTCCAGGGGAGATGACCCATCTAGAGTTCAGGGTCTCGGGGTCAAGGTCTGGGACTTGACTCTAAATTTGGATGAGGTTACCCAGGGAAAGGGATTTAAACCCAAATAACTGAAGTACCCAATAGTTGAGTACTGAAGTCAGATCTTGGATGCAAGGAGTGAGCTAAAGAATAAGGAGAAGAATCATCTGCCTGCCAGGTAGGAGGAAACCCAGAAACGTTGTGTTCTGAAAGACCAAGGAGGAAAGGTGATCAGCAGGGGCCAAAGCCATAAAGATGCTAAGTGAGATTTTAATAAAAAAGGGAACGAGTAGGTTAAAGGTGACATCAATGAGGCTAATTTTAGGTGAATGATGGTTTGAGTGGCTTAGCCAAGGCCACACAGTACTTAAGTGGATCATCTGAGATTTAGGCCAGGGTTCTGCTCCAAGTCTGTTTTCCTCTGGTACCTCTCAGCTACTGATCGATTTCTAAAGATAAATTAATGTATTGATTTCTTAACCACCAGAGTCTTTGAGGGAGGGGGGAGAGTAAAGATGCATAAATGAATGGTGTATCAAAAAGTATCTGGTAAGTTTGTTAAGTTGCAGCTCTTGGATATCCTGATAGCCCTTGGTTGAACAGATACACTTGGGCTCCTGGATATGCAAAACTGAGGATTCCTTTCAGCCTGGAGCCCTGGTGACTTCAGCAGTCTGCGAGATGCTCCAGGACATGGCCACTCTGTAATTTCCTCACGGCCACAAGGACATGAAAGGACTCTGGGGTTTTTTCTTTTTATTCCATACAACTGGAGGTTTTTTGACCCTACACGGTCAGGGAAGGGAAGGATACATAATGTTGGTCCTTAGCTTTTCCACTCTCTCTTTGCCTAAGTTCTTCCTTTTTCCATGTGGGTGATAAATCCTGTAAGTAATAAAATGTCAGATCATCGTAACCTAAAGATTCATGAAAAATCCTCTCCTTTTCCTTCCAGTTAAGATACTGACACACAAAAATAAACGATCTGTCCAACATTGTGGTTTCACGTATTTTTCCAGGCGAAATAGGCAAGGAAAAGAATGTAAAGAATCTTAACGGGTATGCATTCTTGGGAGGTGAAGCAAGACTTAATGATTTCCAGTTTATAGGGGCTGTGCAGGCTCAAAGATGGATTTGAGCTCTCACCCCCCCTTCCCCCAGGTCCTCCCCTGCACCTTTATCTTGTTGTCTTATTTTTCACAGTTTTCCATTCAATTTCTTAGATTATTGGAATGTTGTATTGCTGAAAATGATTTGAAGCTGATATTCTAGTATTTTCCTAATTATGTAATCTATTATAGTGAAATAATTACTTACATTTTCTTTTTCAAGAGGAATCTTTTTTTCCTTTTTACTGACTTATTGCATTGGTTGAAAGTTCCAGAATAAATTTAAGTTAGGGTAGCAACAATGCACATGTTTTATTCTTATTTAGGTATGCCCTCATTGTTTCGCTGTTATGTGTTACAGCTGTTGGAGATAGGTGCGTCAGCATCCTTCTATACTTGTTTAGGGCTTTTTTCATCTGTCTTTTTGTTACTTTTTTCCCCTAGAAATAGATACTGAATATCATTGAATGCTTTTTGACACATTTTTTTAAAGGTATAATTATTGACATGATATATCAAATTACTGTATTTAAATTGAACCATTCTTATACTCCTGGAATAATTCTCACTTGTCTCACTAAGTTTTCATTTTTTTTAAAAGAGTTTTATATATTTATTTGAGAGAGAGAGAGCATGGGTGCACTTGTGAGAGAGAGAGAGAGAGTGCATGAGAGCACACTAGCGGGGTGGGGGTGTGGGAAGGGCAGAGGGGGAGGGAGAAGCAGGTTTCCCACTGAGCGCATGACCTGAGCTGAAATCAAGAGTCAGACTCTTAACCAACTGAGCCACCCAGGTGCCCCGTAAGTTTTCATTTTTGTAATAGCATTATGTTAACAGTGGAATAACACAGTAGATAAGAGAAGTGTTTTGGAGGCCGACTGCCTGAATTTAAGTCCCAGTTCCCCTATTTACTAGTTGTGTAACCTTACACACATTTCTTAATTCCCCGTGCCTCCGTTTCCTTATCTCTATGGTGGGGATATGAGCCCCTACCATATAGGGCTGTTATCAGGATAAATAGATTATGCCAGTGAAGTATTTGTATGATGCCTAGAATGCCTGGGGAGGGGTGGGTGGTGACAGCTAAGAGGAGTGGAATTTCTTTTTGGGGTAATGAAAATGTTCCAAAGTTAATTGTGATGGACACACACCTCTGTGAATATACAAAAAGCCACTGAATAATACACTTTATTTTTTAAAAAGATTTATTTATTTTTAGAGAGACAGAGAGAGAACGCATGGGGGGAGGAGCAGAGGGAGAGACAATCCTGAGTAGACTCCCCACTGAGCGCAGAGACCAATGCAGGGCTCATTCCCACGACCCTGAGCTCATGACCTGAGTTAAAATCAAGAGTTGGATGCTTAGCTGACTGAGCCACCCAGGTGCCCCCCAAAATATACTTTAAATGGCTGAGTTGTATTGTATGTTGACACCCAGCTTATGTTCGCTAACAATATTACTACTGATAACAATACTGAGTGTTGCAAGTTAGAGCTTGGGTTCTCTAACAGGGCTGCCTTCCCCAGCTCGACCCCTCCCACTGTGCCACCTCAGGCAGCTCACTGAACCTTTTATGTGTCTTAGGTTCCCTGGGTAAAATGAAAATAATAATGGTATTTACCCCTTGGGTTGTTACAAAGAATATCTTAGTACACTTAAAGCACTAAGAGCAGTGTCTGTGAGTGAGTAAATTTGCAGTAAGGGTTAACTTTTATTTAAAATATTTATTAGTAAATATTTTACTTAGGATTTTAAAAATCTTTATTCTAAATTGTATTTGTTCATTGTTCTCCTGTATTTTTGTTGTTTTTTAAAAAATAATCTCTTATAATAGAGGAGATACTATGTTATTATTTACCCATTTAAGAAATTATAAGCAAGAAAAAAGAAATGATAAACCCACAATCCCATTGTTCTGAGATAGTCATTGCTATCATTTTGGCATAGTCCTTTTGCTTCTCGCTCATTCTCTCTCTGTCCTAGATAAATATGTGTACCTATGTGTTTCGTTATATATTATAAATTAAATATGTATATTACATGTACTAGCTCTATTAATGCATATAACACAAGCTGTATAAGGATAATTCATAAAATGTGATTATAATTTTTAAAATTAGTTTAAATACTTAAATATATCTTTAAGAGTTTTGTTCTAATCTATAATTCATTTCTTTATATGTAATTTATCTGAGGGTTATTTGGTTTGTGTGAATTGATCTAATGCACCTCCTTGCATTGCACGTGCAGGAAAGCTGAAACCTGCAGCTTCCACAGGTCTGAGTAAATAGCATTTCTGATGTGATTTAGATTTTGTGACTTGAACGTAATTATGTGAGACTTGACTTTGCCAGTAAGTTGAATGGGGAGAAAGGTGGGGTATATGACATCCATTTCAGTGATAGAGAAATTAGCAAAGGCAGTATGTTTTCAGATCCAGCGACCATAGAAACGACTCAGCAGTTTGGACCACCAATTTGGAGTCATTCCTGGAAATATAGCCGATAGCCTATTTTTTTCCAGTCCTCTTAGTGATTCTGTAAGCAATTTAGTACTGTGCAATAAATTCCTTTCTGCTTAAACTAGCTGGAGAAGATACTGGGTTTTTGCAACTGAATGTGATAGATGCATAATGGTTCTAAACTTTATTTTTCCCAAATATAATTCATTAATTAATCCATTCTCTTCCCGCTGATTTGAAATGTAACCTTTATCATATGCCAAATACTCATATATATTTTAGTCTTTTTTTCCCCCTAGTCTCCCTTCTTTATTGATCTGTGGCTATAGTAGGATTCTGGGAGGCTAAGGGCAGCGGGCAAGTCACATGTGTCTCTGCCCCACATTGTTCTTTTTATTTAATTGAATTTTTTCTATTCTACTGCCAATGCCACACTTTTTTGATTACTGCTCTAGGGTAATCTTTAATATGTGTTTGGATAAGTGCCCCTATTAATCCAACATTTTATAAACCTCATGGACTTTTCTTTCAGATGAATGTTTTTGTCAAGTTCTAAATATATCTTCACCGAATTTTAATTGAATTCAGGAGATAACTTACATCTTATGATATTAAATAGTCCCATCTCAAAACACATCTCTCCACTTAGTCCTAATTTCCAGCTTTTTGTTGCTGCTGCTGCTTAAATAGATCTTACAGATTTATTTTCATGACCGTTCCCAGGTATTTTCTATTGCTTATGATTGAGAGTGACACAATCTGCGTCTTTTAACCAGCTTTATCTGGAATATATTGATTTGTACATGTTTATTTTTAACTACCTCCCTGAACTCTTTCATAAATTCTCATAATTTTCAGTTACTCATAAGCTATCAGTCTTATCTGTAAAATGATGGTGTTTCCTTCTTCCTAATATTTACACCACATTTATTGTGTCAAGTTATAATTAATACAGTATGGCGGATTAGGTATCCTTTTGAAGGCTCACCTTCCTTATAGGTTGGGCAGTTTTCTTGAGACTCAAGAGGTGGGTTCCATGTTCCATTCCCCCTAGACTGTGATGTGGCACACACTCACCCACCTTTCTGCCCTTCCTTCCAAGATTCCCGTGCTTAGCATGATCTTACTACCCCATATTTAGCCACAAATGATCTCATCATTTTCCCAATGGAAGATAACACAAATTTATATCAATAGGAGCACTTGTTCTCTGAGTCCAGAATCTTTTTCTGCCATCCATTCCTCCTGTATTTCTGTGGCGAAGCCATGATGTGCAAAAGCTATTTCTGACTATGCCAGCCATTAGAATATAAAAGAGAGTTTGTAAAGATTTGAAAGCATGGAAATATTCAGAGTTAATAAAAGAGGAGAAAAACAGGACCTTGTTGTTGCATAAATGAATCCCTAGGAACTTGCTGGAGAACAACTTGGCAATATACTTCAAGATCTTTACAATGCACATATGCTATGTTAATTAAAATTCTTTGGTTGCAAGTAACAAGAAACAACTTGAGTTGACTTATAAGAAACTCCATCCCCCCCCCCCCCCCCCGTTTTTAAGACTACGGAATTATCACAGGCAGTTCAAAGGCAGAGATGCTGTTGGACCTTAAAACAGGGTAAGAACCAGGCTACACAAGGTTTTAGGGACCTCTTGAGTCTCATGTCTCCCCGCTCTGTGCTTCTCTTCCTCTAATCTGCACTTGCTTGGTATTCATGCTTGGCTTACTGTGTTTGGTTCTCAGAGGTACTGTGCCTGGCTTCTGACACCCGCTATGCACTCCTCCAAATTCTGTGTCCTTGACCTTGAACATGCCTCTTTGCCCGTGGTGTTTAAGTTTCCTTCTATGGCCACTTGGTCTTCTGAGCTCTTAATGTCAGTCAGACTTGAGTCTGTCCTCTGGAGTCCACTCAACATTTACATTTTGCCATTCTGTCTGTTGACTTCTTGGGTCTGACCTTGGTCTCAAGCTTTGTTCCAACTGACTTAGTAGTAAGCTATATCTGACATTGTATCACTAGATAAAGTACCTGAGCTACTACTTCAACATGGAGATAAGTGATTTTTGTAACTTTTTTTCCAATTACACATTGGCTCTCAAATTACTGGCCTTCTCTATAATTAGGGGAAGTCTGTAAGTGTGAGAACAGAGATTTTGTACCAGTTTTGGTGTGGGCTCTACTTGAAAGAGAAATAGGACTTGTTCAGGCATCATTCTGGTTTGGGGCTGCCAGTCTCTGCCCTAAGATAGTAAGGACACAAGCCAGCTGACTCTCTCATTTCATCTTTCTTGGCTTCTGATAATGAAGTGACTCAGCTTGGGAGTTTATAAAACAATGAGTCATCCAAACTATAAAATGAAGTGTAGTACTTTTTTGAAATAATCTTAGTCATCATGGACTACTCCATTCCCCTTTCTCTCCATATGCTTATCTATGATATGTCTCTATCTTTAGTTACCAGTTCTTACTATTAGGTTATTGCTTAAACCCTGAACGTGGAGCGATCACTACTACCCTGGTCTTCTCTGGACACCATGTCACATGGGATAGATCATGTTAGTTACCTCTTGATTTTAGATGAGACAAAATAATTTCACAAGCCAAAGTTTGTAACGGATCAACAGTCCAAAGTTTAGTTTTTAAGGTAATTCCTGCTGTGACTACATAGTTTCACCAACTTTTTGTTATTACTTTGATGCTTCTTGGATTCTTTTTACTATTTTAAAATGTAAGGATGCTGGAATTCTGTCTGTGCTGTAATATTAATGGTTCTGGGGAAAAACAGCCATTTAAAAAATTCCTGAAGTTATAGTGGGAGGGGGCTTGGAGACTTTTTTGGCTTTAGGCAGGGAAAAGAATATCTTTCAAGTTGGTTGTTTCCTGAGAGACTTGCCCCCATTAATCAGAAAGCCTTTCTTTTATGGTTGCTTTCTATTTACAAATATTTAATAGGTTCTTGGCAGCAGGAGGCAAGGTTAAGAGCTGTGTACTTTTATCCCTTTCTAGGATAATGCTTCTGTTTTTCTAAAAATGGAAAAATTCATTAATTAATGTTCAACTTATTTGTGGTTTTAATCATCATATCATTGCGTGGGCTGATGTCTTAAATGTTAACATGTATGAGGAAAAATATTTCTAAGAAACAAGACAGGATACTTAATACAATGATAATCTATTTTTATGTATGCTAGAAGCCACTGGATATAAGAATTTAAAGTCATTAAAACTGTTCTCATTCATTCTTGATAGGTTTTCCAAAGGACTATTAGTAGTTACCCTTATTTGTTCATGAAAAGGCCATTTAGAGAAATAAACCATTCCTCTCTAAAAATTGACTCTGATTAACAGGCTTTCTTCTTTTTTCAACGAAACAAGTGAAGTTTTATAATGCTGATTAGTTTGGTTAGTAGTTAACTTGCCATCTGTGGTTAACAGATTATTTTGTATGGAAAATTAATTGCTTTATTCTTTCAACTAGCATTCTTTTCCATAGCCTGAAAATTAAAAAAAAATTTTCTTTTTTTGTTTTTCAGTGAACTATCCAGCACACATTCTCTCCTGATCTTCTCATATGTGTGTCAGTTGCTGTTTCTTATCCAAATGTGGAATTCATTTAACTAAACGCTGCCAGGGCCTTTTTCTGTGGGATTCCCCCCTCCCTCCCATTTCTGGAGACTTCAATTCCTTCTGAATGTCCCTGTCTGGGAAAGATTATCTTGGCAAAGGAGGGGGACATTGGGAAATAAGAGAGGGCAGCTCTTTGTTGCCAAGCAGAAGTAGCGCCTCACTGACTTCAGAGAAATGTGAGTGGGGCTGGTGGGAAGCTCAGAGAGTCCCGCAGTTTTTAAGAAGTGTAAGTGATCTCATTCTTTTTCCTTAAATGACTTCAATCCCATGAAGCCAGAGGGATGCCTGAGAGCTTGACATTCAAGCTCTTTTTATAGAGCCACGGATGCACAGATAGGAGGTCCAACAATAGCAATGTGTGATTTGGGAGCACTAAAGTGATACTACTGAGCACTCAAAAATGAGTCGCTTGATGGATTTGTCCAGTTTACAGGACCTTGTTACTATTGCACATTACATGGTTGTCCTAACCAGCAGAGTGGTCTTCAGATAGTATGCACTGGGGACAACCCAGTTGTTAAAAAATTAAAATACTTCCGGGTGCCTTGGTGGCTCAGTCGGTTAAGCGTCTGCCTTCGGCTCGGGTCATGATCCGAGAGTCCTGGGATCAAGCCCCACATCGGGCTCCCTGCTCTGCGGGAAGCCTGCTTCTCCCTCTCCCACTCCCCCTGCTTGTGTTCCCTCTCTCGTTGTGTCTCTCTCTGTCAAATAAATAAATTTTAAAAAATTAAATAAATAAATAATAAAAAATTAAAAGACTTCAAGGATCCTCTGGATCTTCCCCAGATCCACCAACTAAAGTGTTATTCACTTAGCAAGAAGGGTGGGGGAGGCTTCCTTGGATGGTGACCTTTCTAATCTATCAGTGCCTGGGCTGTATCAGTTGGTAAATATTTTAACGATCACTCCGAATAACCAATTTTCTTTCTAATTTTTCATTCTGCCAACACATTCATTCTTTTTTATTTATTCATTTACTCAACAACTACTTACTGCTGTCCTGCTAAATGCAAGGCATTGTTGTAGATGTCAGAGAAACACTAGTGAATATGACGGACAAAGTCCCTGATCTGGTGGCATTTACATTTCAGTAGAGAGAACAAACAATCACCATGAACACAAAGATGCAGACGAGATCGTTTAGTGATGATGGGGGCCATGAAGGCAGCATAGCCTCATGAGACACAGGAGTCCCACCCCTATTTGTGGTTTCCCTTTCAGTTTCATTTACCATGTCAACCGCGGCTGGGAAGCAGATGCACACCTCCTTCTGACGCATCATCAGATGGTCAATAGCAGCCTAACTCTACGTCACAACACCTGTGTCATTCACCTCCCTTGATCTCCTCTCCTGGGCGTGTTCTCACGTCATCTAAGAAGGGTGAGTACAGCATAATAAGATATTTTGAGAGAGCAACCACATTCACGTAACTTTTATTACAAGCATATTGTTATAATTGTTCTATTTTATTATTAGCTATTGTTCATCTCTTCCTGTGCCTACTTTATAAATTCACCTTTATCATAGGTATGTTTGTGTAGGATAAAACAGTATTTGTAGGGTTCGGCACCATCCGCAGTTCAGCCATCCACTGGGGGTCTTGGAATGTATCCCCCACGGATAACGGGGGAGGGGCCGTTATAACCGCCAAGGAGGGGCTCCTTAGATGGAAGGGGTAGAGAAAGCCTTCCTGAGGGGGAGTATTAATTGGGACTCGACTAGGCAATTCTTCTGATGTCTGCTGGGCTCCATAGTGTGTCTAAGAGTTGGCAGGCTGCCAGCTGGGGTTCTACTCCATGTACATCCAGAATCCTGGCTTAGGCATTTCTATGGCAGTAGCAGAAGTGGAAGAAAGGGAAGAGATTTTTCCAGATTCTGCCACATTTGCTAACATCACAGACTAAAGGAATTTGTGTGGACAAACCCAGAGACAAATAGGGGAGGTACCACGATGTTAAATAGCAAGGGATGTGGATAAAGTCAGAGGTGAAAAAATGGGGTCATTAGTGTGGTCAGTCAACCATATATTCTTCTGTTAACTTTTCTCTTTTAGCCAAAATATTTATGTTTTTAAAAACTCACTGTTTTTCTCTCCATTTATACAGCAACCTGTTCTTATAGTTTTGGTTGCAGTCTCTTCCTATCTCCTTAAACTTCTTGGAGAATACTAATTAGAATATTTTTTTTCTTAGATTTTCTTAGTTCTGTGAAACATGGCTTTTTTTCTCAGGGGTCATTATTTTTTCATAATATGCTCCTCTTGGTCCCTTTCATCGGTGCCATGGTTTGTCTCAGATGTCTGCTGATGCTTAGATCTCCGTTCCCTTTTTGTGAAGGACCCGGTTGATTAACAGAAGGGATAGCTGTGAGCTTTTCCAATCAATCTTTCTTTCAGTTGGCCTCTCCCCTGGATGGGAGAGCTGACTGCAGGTTTGGTGTACTTGGCAGGCTTTAATTTAGAGAATAAAAGCAGGCAAATACCCAAAGGAGGATCATTTTACTCTAGGTATCAGTATCCACATGGGCAACCTTGACTCTATCCATATTTAGATGTGTCTATTTTAGAGAATCGCCTCTAGTTTTTGTTGGGGATTCAATGTTGGTGCCAGCCATCCTTCTGCATGGCCAGGAGCCTGGGAAAGGAGTGAATGGCCGAGGGGAGCAGCTGTTGCCTTGGCAGAAAGAGACTTCTATTTTTCTGTCCCTTTTTTTTTTTTTTAAGATTTTATTTATTTATTTGACAGAGAGATAGAGAGAGAGCACAAGTGGGCAGAGCGGCAGGCAGAGGGAGAGGGAGAAGCAGGCTCTCCGATGAGCAGGAAGCCCGATGCGGGGTTTGATCCCAGGACCCTGGGATCATGACCTGAGCCAAAGGCAGCTGCTTAACCAACTGAGCCACCACCCAGGCACCCCTGTCCCTTTGACTCTTTATACCTGCCTCTGCCTAGCCAGCTTCTCAAGGGGTTAGCTAAGGAGAAAGGCTTCTATCGCCACTGTATTTTTCTCTTGTTTCTTGTGCTCTGTTATCTGTCATCATAATGCCATCTGCTTTCCATCTTCCACAAATTTATCAAATCTGTTGTCTACTGAGGCCCTGGATAGTGAGACAAACGAATGTGTTTCCTCTCCCATCTTGAACAAGAAGCTCATCTAAACATTTACAACCTCACCATAAACCTTTCCCAAATTAAGATTACCAAACAGTAAATCCTCAAGTTAAGGAATACTGGTCAATTGATTTATATTAACATTGTCCATTTTCTATCACTTATAGTACCTTATGGTTCAATTTTTCCTTTGTAACAACAACAAAAAAGGATATTAATTTTAAAGATTTCTTTTCGAAAGGCAGAGACTCATAAAACCCACCACTCTTGGTTGCCTTTTGGTGCTAGCTATTCCGGGGGCAGATTGTCCAAAGCAGTTTCGCTTAATCTAACTTCAATTGAACAGTCTTTCCCTTAAAACTGTTCTATGGCTCTTAGAAACTTCTTTAATCTGTCTGGGGAAGACACATTTAGACATGAATAAGGATTGTTTTGAAATCTCTCTGCTAAAAAAAAAATTCTCAAGTAAAGTAGACCCTTTTGCCCTCACCCTCCAACCCCACCCCCCACCTGCCCCCAGCAAAGAAATTTCCTGGAGATGCACTGTTCTCAAGCCAAGGATTCTGCCCAAGAGATTCCGGGCTCACAATTACTTCAGGCAAATTGCCCACTGCGCACCCTGGTCAGCAGCCAGGGGTTATCCAATTAGCATAAACCTCTAGTTTAGTTACCCCCATCTTCGAGGTTTAAGACTTAGGGATGGTGACCAATTCTTTCATTCCTTTGCCTTGAGTTTTGGTGGGAGCCTTCTTTTTTTTTTTTTCTGGCTTGTGGAAATGAGAAGAAAATCCTGACTGCTTACAATGTCATTGTAAATAGTTCTAATCATGTTCGTAATCGTGTGCCTTTCTTTCCCCCGAACGCTGGGAACTTATCTCTGGCTGGAATTTCGTTTGACCATTGAGTCATGAAAGGCGTAGAATTATAATTCCTAGAACTTAAATGGAAAACATTTTGGCTTGTTTTGGAATTTATTAACTTCAATGAACCAGTACATACTAAGGGAAGAAAAGAACATCTATTAAACCAGTTAGTCCTTTGTATATGTACATTATAATTGTAACACTGCTGTGGATAATCTCACACCCTCAATATTTTCCAATATTTGAACTATTTCCAATTGAATTCTTTTATTTCAGTTGAGGGTTTTGGGTTTTTCTGTGTTATTGTTGTTGTTTTGTTTTTGGTTTATGATGCATATAAGGTAGAAACTCTGGGATGAGGCCAAATAGCTTACACCGTGGTCTCTGGTTGTATACACTAGTATGTAACCAATTGTATAAGCCTCAATGGGAGGCACAGATAAGCTTGCTTCTATAGGGACCAGCAAGGATCCAGGGGCACTGTATATAGCCTTGGACCTCCTTTTTAAATTTTCATAGGCCAGAACCCTTTGCCACTTACCCAGATCCCATCCTGAAAAAGGACAGAGGATGAGTGAATCCATCTGAGAGCCAGAGAATTTCATATGAAGTGATGGAGTTCCCAAAGGACTGTTTAAATAATGTTAGGGGACCAAGTTTACTGTGGTCAACTAAAAACATAGGTTTCCTCTCTACACAGCAGGTGGGAATACATGAAGAAGCAGTAAAAAAGCTTACATTTTCTCTGTGCTGTGGTGTGAATAAATCTGTGACTCTGATAGTATATGTATTTAATGACCTGTTTCTCCAGACAGAGCTACACATGTGTTTACATTTCTTATTTTTCCAATTACTAATTCAAACACCCACAAATTCTTCCTCTTGAGTTCTCTCCTCCTATATCCTCAATTGTCCAAGGAAGGACCTCAGTCAAAGGGGACCAGCTCTGCCTTAACATTCCAGAGGAGATAGGGAACTGGATGAGTCAGTCCATGAGACCTACTGTTGTCATTGTTGCTGTTGGACAATCTGTTTCTGCTTGTCCCCTGTTGCGGCGACGTCTTTGCTAGTCCAAACCCATCCCTGTGCTTTGGCAAGGGTTTAGACTGACAAACCTTTGCATGGGTCACTGGTCCAGAGGTGCTTTTCACTCTGCCCTCATGCTGTTATAGAACCAGCCTCCCCTAGCAAATTTCATACCCCTGTGTTGAGCTCTAGTACCATCCCACGCCTCCCCTTTCTTCTGGACAGTTTTTTTGGGGGGTGGGGGGGGCGCTTTGCTATTCTTTGTTAGCAGAACTTGCCTAGACCATCACAATCCATTCTGACCAGTTCTCCAAGTTTGAATCTCTGCATCAGGAGATGAGTTTCCTCTGGGAAACCATTGGCTTCCTGAAAATTAGTCTGTCCTGCCTTCAGGGTATATTAAGGTGTCTCTGGGAAAAGCAAACTCCATCTAGTGGCAAGAGGTTCTCCTTTGCCCTTCAGCCATGAAATGAATGATCTCATTCTCCATTTGTTTAACTAAGCCTAGCCCCTCAAGTCATATCTCCTATTTCTGCTATTTGAAATTCATCTCAAGAAAAGAGGCACATATACAATGATTTTTTTTAAAGATTTTATTTATTTATTTGAGAGAGAGAATGAGTTAGAGAGCATGAGAGGGAGGAGGGTCAGAGGGAGAAGCAGACTCCCCGCCGAGCAGGGAGCCCGATGTGGGACTTGATCCAGGGACTCCAGGATCATGACCTGAGCCGAAGGCAGTCACTTAACCAACTGAGCCACCCAGGCGCCCTACAGTGATTTTTTTTATAGTGCTATTTAAAATATGCAAATAATGCAAAAGGTATAACAATTCAAATACCGCCTACATGATGGTTTATTGAAATATTACTTATTTTCTTTTCGCTGCTGGAAAACTCAGCAATACTTAAGATAGTTTTTACTTCTGGATTTTGTTCCCAGTTTTAAGGCCTTTATTTCCTTTGCCACAGATGCTTCTGCAGCACCCCTTGACCAAGCCCCCAGGAGAGAGGTGTGCATACCTAAACAGTCCACTCTGGGTAAGAGGGACTCAGGACCGGGTCTGTGCCAATGCTGGGATTTTAGGGTACCTGATAACCTGGAACGTGGTTTACAAGGAGCCACACAGGCCCTAAGTAGGCACGTGTCTGTGGCTCCTTGGGACCTCTCACCACATGAGGAGGGTCCTCGCTGGAGAAGGACCAGAGTGAGGCCCTCTTAATTGTGGGGCCTAAGTCAAGACCCCCTGCTGCCCAGGTCTAAGGTTGATACTGGTCTGTGCTGTGGATTATTCAGAATGAGTGAGACTCACTGGTGCCATTTGATAGATTACATTGTTTTGTGCCAAGCTTGGAATTTTCCTTGCTGAGCAAGTCCTTTTGTGGTG